TGGTGACGTCAGCGATGTCATCCGTCGTTGCGTCAGTGGTGACGTTGGTGGTGACGTCAGTGGTGACGTTGTTGGTGACGTCAGTGCTGTCATCTGTCGTTGCGTCAGTGGTGACGTTGGTGGTGACGTCAGTGGTGACGTCAGTGGTGACGTCAGTGGTGACGTCAGTGGTGACGTTGGTGGTGACGTCATTGGTGACGTCAGTGGTGACGTTAGTGGTGACGTTGGTAGTGACGTCAGAGGTAACGTTGTTGGTGACGTCAGTGTTGCCATCCGTCGTTGCGTCAGTGGTGACGTTGGTGATGGCGTCAGTGGTGACGTTGGTGGTGACGTTGGTGGTGGCGTTGGTGCTGCCATCTGTCGTTATGTTGGTGGTGACGTTGGTGGGGACGTCAGAGGTAACGTTGGTGATGGCGTCAGTGGTGACGTTGGTGATGGCGTCAGTGGTGACGTTGGTGATGGCGTCAGTGGTGACGTTGGTGATGGCGTCAGTGGTGACGTTGGTGATGGCGTTAGTGGTGACGTTGGTGGTGACGTCAGTGGTGACGTTGGTGGTGACGTCAGTGGTGACGCTGGTGGTGGCGTCAGTGTTGCCATCCGTCGTTGCGNGTGTGTGTGTGTATGCGTGTGTGTATGCGTGTGTGTGTGTGTGTGTGCGTGTATGTGTGTGTGCACGTGTGTGTGTGTGTGTGTGTGTGTGCGTGTGTGCGTGCGTGCGCGTGTGTGTGCGTGTACCTGTACTGTGTACGTATGTGTTTATGTGCGGTGTCTCTGCTCGCAGTGAGCTGTAACGATGAGACACTGGGCGGCATCCTGCAGCCGATAACACACGCCTGGGAGAGCGCAGCTGCACAGAAGTACGGAGCCTGGATGATGGACCCACTACCTCCCACTGGTGACGAGACTAAGATCTACGTGTTGGGTGGTTACGCTAGCATCAGGGCTCTGTGGATGTACGGCAGCTACGCAGACTTCGTCACACGCCGACGTAAGACCATCATCACGCTGCCGATAGGCGTCGCCGGCACCGGTCACGTGATCTACAACGGAACCATCTACTATCCGCAGTACAACACGGCCAAGGTACGCGCGCGCCCTCTACAGTGCCGTGAGGCAGACGGAGCCGTGGAGGGGAGGAAAGGATGGAGGGGGGGGGGGGGGGGGGGGGGGGGGGGGGCGGGGGGGGCGGGGGGGGGGGTTGGAGGGAGGGAAGGAAAGAAGAGGAGGGAAGGTGGGGGAGGGAAGGCGAGGGCTGTTTTATATATATATATATATATAGTGATAATTTAAACTATAGTTCCACGCCAAGATGCTTACGCGTGCGCCTAAACATCACATCCTACTATCACACGAACGCCTGTGACGTCATGCGTACTCACACGATCCCGGTGTTTCTTCCGTATCAAGATTCATGCATTCGACCTGAGGTCACGGAAGCTCACGGCGACCAGCACCTCCCGGGTGCCCTCTATCAGAACCAAGGGCAGTTTAGCTTCGGTGTGTTATTCGGACATTGACCTGGCGGCGGATGAGAGAGGACTGTGGGCCGTGTACACGACGACGGCCAACGACGGCTATATACGTCATCAGCAAAACTGCACCCCGTTACACTGCAGGTAAACACAGGTGTCCGTTACACTACAGGTAACACAGAGTCCGTTCACTGCGGTAAACACAGGTGTCCGTTACACTCAGGTAAACACAGGTGTCCGTTACACTGGCAGCGTGCAACACAGGTGTCCGTTACACTGCAGGTAAACACAGGTGTCCGTTACACTGCAGGTAAACACAGGTGTCGCTTTCACTGCAGGTAAACACAGATGTCGTTACACTGCAGGTAAACACAGTGTCCGTTACACTACAGGTAAACACAGGTGTCCGTTACACTGCAGTAAACACAGGTGTCCGTCACACTGCAGGTAAACACAGGTGTCCGTAACACTACAGGTAAACACAGGTGTGCGTTACACTACAGGTAAACACAGATGTCCGTTACACTGCAGGTAAACACACAGGTGTCCGTATCACCGAAGGTAAACACAGATGTCGTCCACATGCAGGTAAACACAGGTGTCCGTTACACTGCAGGTAAACACAGGTGTCCGTTACACTACAGGTAAACACAGGTGTCCGTTACACTGCAGGTAAACACGACAGGTGTCCGTTACACTACAGGTAAACACAGGTGTTTCGTTACACTGCAGGTAAACACAGATGTCCGTTACACTGCAGGTAAACACAGGTGTCCGTCACACCGCAAGTAAACACAGGAGTCCGTTACACTGCAGGTAAACACACAGGCTGCTCCGTTACACTGCAGGTAAACACACAGGTGTCCGTTACACTGCAGGTAAACACAGATGTCCGTTACACTGCAGGTAAACACAGGTGTCCGTTACACTGCAGGTAAACACAGGTGTCCGTTACACTGCAGGTAAACACAGGTGTCCGTTACACTGCAGGTAAACACAGGTGTCCGTCACGGAGAGAAGGACAGAGACATCGCTCTCTCTATCACACACACACACACACGGCCGCCGCGCACACACACATAATACACACGTACACACACACGCGCGCGCACGCCCACAACATAATACACACACACGCACACACGTATCACACCGCGCGCGGGCAACACACACAACACACGGCACACACACGCACGCAACCACACTCTCTCCCCCTCTCTCTATCTCTCATACACGCTTACCTTACATCTCACGCTTTCCGCAGGAACACCTGGAGAACTAACGCTAAGAAGCTCAATGTTGGAAACACGTTCTTCATCTGCGGGGTCATGTACTCGGTCGAGGCGCACACGATCCTGGATAACAGAGTCTCCTACCAGTACGACACGAACACGCAGGAGCAAAACCTCATATCGATACCGTTCAGCATCAAGTACGGACTGCTAACTCAGATGCTCTATAACGCTCGGCATCGCGCCATCTTTGCCTGGGACAACGGACATCTCATCTCCTACCCCGTAGAATTCCAACCGTCACGTTAGGTTCGTCTGTGACGGATCCGCCTGGAGCGCTGCTCGGGTGGACGTTGTCGTTCGTGGCGCCCCCTACCGCCTATAGCTGCGATAGAGCCGTTTACTAAGTGCTAGTTTCCAGCTGAGGTTAGAGGAGGAGGTGGAGGATACATTTATATAGCGTGTCCCCATGAATTGCATCGCTCACGTGCGCGCCCTTCTGCGCGTGATCCACAAGATGTCACGCCACGTGATCCACATGATGTCACGCCACGTGATTGATGTTACAGTGTGTGATTGACGTCACGGCGCGTGATTGACGTTACAGTGTGTGATTGACGTCACGGCGCGTGATTGACGTCACCAATATGGCGGCATACTGCCCGGAATTATTTTGCCTTCTAAGTTGACGCGAAATATAATTGATATCAACTGCATAGTTTGTAGTGTCTGTGAATGAAAGACGTTATAATAACGTCTTTCATTCACAGACACTACAAACTATGCAGTTGCTATCAATTATATTTCGCGTCAACTTAGAAGGCAAAATTTCATATACTAATGCAATAACCGTTATTGCATTAGTATATGAAATTGAGGTTCTTGATAAACTAACTAAGAATATCCTTCTTAACGAGTTATATGTCGGCGATAAAACTAGAAGATATATAATACGTGAAATCTGATCACCTGCCGTGTACTATCGCTTGTCTTCCCATCATGCACTAGTTAATTCACATTCCACTGAGAATGAGATCGTGCAAATATAATGATTGGATGGTCTTATATTGAGTTTGATTTTGTTGATATTGCAATGACATTAATACTGAAAAAAATCGAATGTTCGTATACTATACCATATAAATAGTTAACTAAGAAGAGAGACTCAAAGTTTATTAAACACCTACTTCTATTAAATAAAGAAATATTTTTAGTTCTTGAAATATAATATAGTCTTTGAAATGTTCTAAATATCATCTGGTACTTTGCCACGACTTTGCTATAAGGGTCATAGAACCGCGTAGCAGCACAATTTTTTTGCACGTGCGCACTTGCGTAGGGGCCTATAGTATGCGTGCGTGTATGTGCGTGGGCGAACGTTTATGGTGGCTACAGATGCCCTAATATCTCCCGCAAACACATGCTGGGCTGTCGAAGAAAAATCAGAGTTAGTGATAATTATTGCCCTAGCATTTCGTAAATAATTTATTGTCCACTTGAGCCACCATACAAGGGCGCGTGTGTGTGCGCGCATGCGCGCGTTTTTGCACGTATTCTGTGTGTGTGTGTGGGAAGGGGGAATAAAAACCGGGGCTGAAATTCATTACTGAATTGGAAAAAATAGCTGGGCATGTAGCCTGTATAATTGATAATTCTTTTTAGTCAGCGCTAAAGATTGCTGCCCCTCTCTCATGCCTGTGCTATCATTGCTGGCCTAAAAATCGGGCATGTTAGTCATATTTTTATCTTAGCAATCACGGTCTTACTTTAGTCCTACTACTTTGTTTTTAGAGCATCCTAACCCCATGCACGCGTACCCACGCTGCATTGGACGGGAGTTGGCATGAGAAGCGCCGCGTCGTTTTGTAGAAAATATATAAATAGACACGCGCGGACAAGCAGTACTAAGAATTATCCAGGAGTTATTACCCAGAGAAGAAACAAGATAGAAGATTTAGACTGTGACTATGTAGTCAGTCAGAGAGAGATCGAGGCGAGGCGACAGAGCCTAGGCATGGTTGCCTATAGGCTGTAGTATGTATATATATATATTTTTTGTATGTGTAGTTACTAATAAAGTACTAGTGAAAACAAGAATCTGCGACACGGCTCACCTCTGCTATCTACGCTGCCACCTTCTATACGACCTACGACCTACGACCTACGACCTACGAGAACCCGAAGTCTTCACACTTTCGCAGTAAAACAATTGGTGCACGAGCGTAAGCCCACAATAATTTACGCACACGCGCGCGATCGCGCACGCACGAACATACACACACACACACACACACACACACACACACACACACACACACACACACACAACCACACCACACACAACAACACCACACACACACACACACACACACACACACACACACACACACATATATATATATATATATATATACACACACACACAAATTAACAAACAACAAACACACATACACACAACCACACGTACATGCATACATACATGCACGCACATGCCAAATTTTACAACCGTACGCTTTGGCACGTGCCTAGGCATGCCAGTGCTAGGGGGTCTGGGGGCATGCCCCCCAGAAAAGTTTGAAATATTTAAGCCATTTTTCCTGCAATCTGAGGCACTACTGTGGGCCATATTTCTGTCTGATGACACTATTCAACCTAGACTCGACCCTACAATTAGGATTCAAAACACTTTTCATTACTTTTCAGAGAGCCGTAACACAGTTAGGTTCTATTAGCTGATAGCGTCTATGTCCCCCAGGGTACTGCCGGAACGTCTACCTGCGGTACGGTCCGGAATTACGGAACGTACCTGGTAACTATCTAGCTGATATGCTTTAGGGTTAGCGGTTAGGCGTTAGGATTAGGGTTCAAGGAGTAGGCGTAGGCGACTCCGTAGACTCGTTAGTGGAGTAGGCGAGGTACGGTCCGCGGATAGTTAGATAGTAGTATTAGTACCAGGCGTACGTTCCGGCAGTACCCTGGGCGGACATAGACCCTATCAGCGTTACGCTGGTAATAATACATGTATTAAAACACAGGTAAGAATTGCAATTTCTCACAATTTCACGTGTTTTTGTATGTTTGCAACCATACTTTTTGGCTATTTTGAGTCTGGAAACATTTTCTTGAAGAGTTCATTTGCATGGTTCGTGCCGCCCTCAAAGGCACATTTGTTCAATTAAATAATCGTAAATCTCACTTCTGCCGTCAAGACAGACAATTCTCTATCTGCTGCAAAGAAGCTTGATATATTCAAGAGCTAATAATACCTCTTGAGCTCATAGCTTCAAGCTCTCTTGAGCTCTTACCTCTTGAGCCTCGATAGCTCGGAGCTCGATAGCTCGATAGCTCGATAGCTCGATAGCTCGAGCTCAATAGCTCGATAGCGTTGAGCTCTTGAACCTCAAGAGCTAATAATAGGTATTATTAGCTCTTGATATATTGGGTGTAAATTCTACTGCACCGCATAGCACATGTACTTTTGAGAGACTATATGCCTCTGCAGTCACTTCTTCCTCCGTGCCACACTTGAAAGGCTGTCTTGCATACCATCGCCAATAGCCATGGATTAACACTGAATTGTACTGTATAGTCTATACAGTATACTTACATTTAAAAAACTCATTTCTCATGCATTATGCTGAAATTGAAACAATCACATTTCCTTCTTCTTTTTTTTTGAATCTCAGGTGGGATATTTGTACAGGCCATCCCCCCTCCCTCAAGAGCGGGAGGGGGAGGGTTGCATCCCCCCATTCCCCCCGGGATTTACGCCCCTGGTGCGAATCACTTAAAAAGCGCGGAAGCTCTGACGTTTCATTAAATTATTAGAGAAAGAAGACGATTCGTTGTACCGTTCTCGACTCTTAATCCTGAATTTTCAAAAATAATATTGGATCTATTGTTAAACAAGATTTCGATTGACCATTGAGAGTGAACTAGTGACCATTGACAATTGACCATTGAGAGTCGTCTATCACTAGAGAACATTATTTATGATGCAACGCTACGTCATTGATATACAGCATATGATTGGCCAGAAGTTATATCGCTGGGCGAGTCTTGCCCTGTGTGACAGCGTCAGACACACAATAAAAATACACAAGTAGCCACGTAAGAGACCCGACTCCCGCTGCTACACAAATATCCGTAGAGCTCGATAGTCATAGATTATGGTGTAGGTACGCATGATGTGTTATGCCGAGCTGGATGAAAGGCCCCGGGGGGGGGCGTCACTATATATGCCGGTATTACCCCATGTGCGTTCTCACTAAAACATAATAGGCCCCCTAGTGCGAACTGGCACATTGAAAAACCCTACCCCTATTGCAGACACAATTGAAGAATACCACCCCCTATTGCATACACAATGAAAATATCCCACCTCCTATTGCACACACAATGAAAGAGTCCTACCCGGACCCCTACCCCCTATGCGAGGTCTTGGCAGACAAAGTGGAGGGCAAGCAAGAGTGGAGGGAACTGAGGGGCCCTAGGCGGGGCCTACTGCGGGCGCGGTGCTTGACTTGAACGATCCCGAGGGCTTATTGCGGGATTAGCTTTGTAAAGGGGGGCCTATTTGCTCCCGCGCGGGCCCGCTTTAGAAGTTGAAAAACACCCCCCCTAACCCGCAAAATTTGGAACGCACATGGGGTAATACCGGCATATATATAGTGACCACCCCGGGTGAAAGGCGAAATGCGCTGGGCTCTAAGCTCATTTCACAAAAATATTTTTAAATAATTAAAAGATATCTGTTGTTTCGTTTATAATCTTTTTAACACAGTCTTTGTCATGTGTCTTTGTATGCTCCTTTTTCTTCCTACGTCCTCTTACTTTTTTCTCTTCTCTCTCTCTCTTTTTGGCCGGCGTTTTTGCCCGCCCCCCCCCCTGGCTACGCGCCTGAATGTAACCCAACAAGAGTTGGGGGTAGTAGTAATGGAACCCTACTCTTGCTGGGTTACATAATTGTATCTAACGGTTTTCTCCGAGAGGCTCCTCATATCCCCCATGCAATAGAATAGCACAGATCCATATATATATATATATATTACCCATGCATGCAATAGAATAGCACAGATCCATACAATAGCACAGATCCATATATATATATATCACCCATGCATGCAATAGAATAGCACAGATCCGTACAATAGCACAGATCCATATATATATATCAGGAGCGTATAATGACAGGGACGTATACTTGTCATTATACGCTTACACTATAAGGTGGTCGAATGGTTCCAGGCCTATCTGTGCAGAAGAAGCCAGATGACAGATGTCGGAGGTACCTTTTCTACAAAAAATATAATAACATATAAAACATATAACATGTGGTGTACCTCAGGGATCGATTTTAGGACCGTTGCTATTTTTAATATATGTAAACGATATGGCAGACGCTGTAAAAACTAAGCCTTTTATTGTATGCTGATGACTCGGCGCTGTTAGTATCAGGAACTGACATTCAGGTTATCCAGGAAAAATTAAGCTTGGAAATGGAATCGGTTAGTAGATGGCTGTGTGACAACAATCTATCCATGCACCTTGGAAAGACAGAAACCATTCTGTTTGGATCAAAATATAAAATCAGTCGACTTACAAACTTTGTTGTCACATGCAATGGGTCAGATATTCAAAGTAAGACTGCAGTAAAATATTTAGGAGTAGACTTAGAACACAATTTGACTGCTGAAATTACAGGAAGCAAAAAGGTCAACAATAGACTAAAATTTATTTACAGGAAAGCTAAATATTCTAAACAAATCATTGTAAAAAATTACTAGTTACTTGCTTGATTACTTGTCATTTCGGATTATGGCATGTAGTCGTTTGGTAGCAGTAGTCTGTTCATGAAAGACAAATGCCAAGTTGCCAGGTATGCGCAAAATACGAAGCTATTAGATGTGTCGGCTAAGATCTGAGGCAAGAACCCCACCATAGGTGCAAGGGAGTTCCTGTCGGGTAAATTGGGTTCCAGTCGAGTTCAGAGTAGTTACACCTGAAAGGTAAACCATGTTTCTTAGAAAATGCTGGGCATAAGTTCAGTCCCCGAATACATGACTGCAATGGATTTACAT